AGTTAAAATACAGTAAACTTAACCTGTGGCTGTTAAGTGCCATATTGGCAGCACAGTTAAAGATAATTCAAATTCTACTACTTGGAAAAAATAGAAATATTTTGTTTGCATTTTACTGTATACAATTGTCCTCCTTGTTTTATATTGTTAAATAACCTCACATTATTAAAAAAAAAATATGTCCAAGAAGCACAGAAATCTGGAGATCCTAATTTTACAGTTAGTATAAAATTTCAGCAAATGTTCCCCAGCTGGAGAAACCCCCTTATTAGAGTCATATGATTACATTATACTTTGATGAAGTTTCAATTTTTCCTCAGTTCCTGTAAAATAGAATTCATGATTATAAGTGCTGGCAGATAAATATTTCCCAATGTTTCTGAAGACAATATGGGATATGCAAATATTCAAAGAAATGTTTTCACAAAATAAATGTATCATCAACTCTTATTTGTTTTAGGAAATGTATCCCATCAGTAGTGATCAAAGTTCTTTTCTTTTGCTTTTTTTTTTTACTGAATTTATTTCTCTATTGTTTGTTAGCATTTCTACTAAAATGAGCTATTTTTTCCATTTAGTTTTTACAAATGTTAAATTGGTTATTGAAACATAATGTAACATTTCTCTCAAATTAACATGCACTGTTACACATTTTATTATTTCAATTACTTATCTGATGATATTTGATTTATATCCTTCCAAGCAAGAGGATTTAAGGCTTTTACCTTTAACCACAGGTAGCATTATAACTTCGAGAGACTTTGAAAATAACAATAAACACAAAATTATGCCTTAACTTGAAACTTAGAGAATAGCTAGTTTCTGAGTTAGTCTAGAAATGGAGGGTGGGCAAGATATTCTAAAAATTCTCAAGAACACCAAGTCAGAAGAAAAAAAAAAAAAAACTCTCCCTACTGTCAAGAGAGGTTCTGACATACCATGAATCAATGGAGGTCTGTACCAATTTAACATAAAATCTCAAGGGAAATATAAAAATCCCCTAAATTGAAAGTAGGCCCTAAATAAGGCATGATTTTCCATTAGTTTAAAGAAAGGAAATTTCATAAGGCAGAATAAACCATGAAATCTATAATTTGTCAATTTTTGAGCAAAATCAAAAATCTTTTCATGGTTGAAGTTAAAATATATTTGGTATCTGTTAATAAAAACTGTGTAACTCACCCACAAATTGCTCATTATTATTCTAACCAATATTTCAGCAAATCGATGAAGAACAATTAAGAGGTCGCAGGCGACCATTATGGATGTACCGTTCTTTGATGAGAATTTCTGAGAGACCATCTGTTTATTTAGCTGCCAGGAGGAAGCCTCCACAAAAACCAGTTCTAT